CCAAGAAGAAAAGAAAAAAAGCTTCAGCCATCTAGACAGGCAGCAGGCAGCAGGTGCTGTGGCCAAGCAATTAGTGAGAGCCTGGTTATTATATTATGAGCAGCTGCTAAGCACCGCACAGAGACTATTCCAAATAGAAGAAGTCTTATAACGATTCTGGTCTTTGGCATTTATGGACATTGAATAGCTTAATATATTCATGGGACTATCTGGAGAGGAGCTCAATATTCGATTTGAGGAGTTTTATGCACACAAAGTTTGCAGCAGACCCCGAAGGTCCTGCTAAGAATGATTTTCCATTAATTTTTTCTTGAGCTATTTAAACAAGCTATTAGAGTATCGTAAGAGTCAATCAAAGCATTACGATAACTGACAGTCTTGCTTGATAGAGTATCTTTTAATTGACTGTCGAAAAAATCAATTAAATTGTGCAAGAAACAATCGATATTTTAATAATTTCTTCCTTGATCAATACTATCTAATTTTTGTATAATTGATTAGTATCGATCCGGGAAGAAACCTATGAATTATTGATAAACTTATAAACTTGCTAAATCTTTTAGCGATTATATTAAAAAACCACTTATTTCTATTTAAAAAAAAAAAGTATGATTCACATTAAATACATTTGGATAAAAAGTAAAGTATTCACAAAAGTCTATTACTGATATGCTATAAATAGAAATTTCTTTAGTTAAGTTGCAGTCGTTGTTATCGATAAAACTATCGATCGACGAAATCAAAACAGTCGAAAATGTCGATAACTATTAGCCTAAGCAATCGATTTTAAAGTCGATAACATCATTAGTTATCGCTTCAATTCTGATAATCTGATAGTTCTGATCAAAATCCTGATGAATGAATTTTTTTTGTGATTTTCATGGCTCGAACTAGTTTCAGACTTGATTTGACCCAATTGAAGTATCCATAGCCATATTTTGATTACGGCCAATCTTAAGCTGTTAACGGTTTTTAATATCCTGCTACTACATTCTCTTCATCTTCTTCTGCTTCTTCTTCTTCTGCTTATTCTACTCTGACCGTCGGTCAGAAATCATTTGCTACACGTGGCCAATCAATTTGCAACACGTCACGTGCCCCCCGCTTTTTATGCCCGTAGCATTAATTTTTTGAAGCAAAGACAACGTAACTAATACATGCCCAAAGGGCTTGACCACGTCCAAACACACACACACACACACACACACGCACACGAATCAACTGGACGTCTGCGTTGACAATATCGTTGATGCGGCTGACCCGCTCTCTGTCCGTCTCTCTGTCTGTCTGGCAGACCTGTCGTCCTGTTTCTGGTCCTATCCTGTCGCCCATCGTGGACAGGTGTGCATGATTTATGAGATTTACATATCAGCGCGCCGATGAAGCGCGTTGATGCGCTGACAACAACAGATGCTCGAGGATACTTCCCAACACATACTTATACATATATACACATATACATATACGTACGCCCCTGTGGGTAGGCGTGTCCTAAAAATAGGCTAACAAGAAAATGCAAATTTGTGCACTGATTGATGATATTAAGCCATACCTGTTCTGTTCTGTTCCCATGAAAGGGAACTCGCAACATTTCACTTTGTTTAGCTTCGACGTATCCTTAGTTAACGAACTTTAACATATGAAACTCAAATGAGATTGAAGTGTGGAAACTAATAAATAGATATTTGGTCAACTTTATAAGCGTTAATTAAAGTTCAGCTTAGCTTACTTTTTCGCTCAAACAAAGTAATACTTATAGGACTTTCACGAATTATTTTGTTTAGTAATTTCTTTCTTTCTTTCTTATACCGAGAGCTACTGCTCTGCCTCTTCCATTCCCTTTCTTACTTGTCATGCTTGTCTTCTCTCTTATTATCAGTTATCTTTCTTCTCTCACTATATTTTTCTCTCACTCTCTCTTTTTCTCCCACTATCTTCCTCTCTCTCTCTCTCTGTCTTTCTCACTCTTATTCTCTCTACCTTTCCCCTTCTCTCTCTCTCGCTTCTAGCTCTCCCTTCTCAGTTCCCCTCTCTCCCTCTTTCTCTTTCTAGCGTGTCATGCGCTACTCATCTCATTCACTCCTTTCTTTTGCATATCGCCTCTCTATGTGATTCTCACAAGTTCATTTCTGTTATTCTGCTATTCCTGTGATGTTCCGGTGTGCTCACACTGCTCTATTTTAAACTTAATTTATCCCAATCTGACTTAAGCATCGCTTATACCCAGAGTAGCATATTAAAAGCATTATTTCAATTTAACAATTTACATAAATTAAAGCTAATACAACAATCTATTTATACATATGACACACGCACATCGAGCTTTACATCTCTGAGGTTTTCCCAGTCTACTCCTTGGCACCTAATGGCCCTCCTTCTCTGGTGCTTATTAGTCCGACCTGTCTCTGTTCCCAGTCGACGACAGCCCTCAAATTCAGCTGGATATGGCAACACATGTGTCTGATATCTCGGTTGTACAACAACATGTGCAGTCGGATGCAGTTGAAGCCGCAGCCTCTAAGCCTTGGCTAATTGTTATGCGCCCATCACAAACACTGAACATCAGCGTTGACAACAGCAACAACAACAAAAAACAACAAATGCGAAGGACATGTAAATAAATGACTGCGAGATTCATGTCAGTTCCATAAAAACGCCATATTTTTTATGAGCCAAGGCTTAAAGGCTGGCAAAATGGCTTGCAAAAAATATAAATAGGAATATATTTATTCAGGCTGTGCGTGAAGGCATTCAAAGCAGCGTGAAATGTAACTAGTTATAAAACTTGTTGGGAAAAAAAAAATAATGATATATTCGTATAAAATGCTTTCTCCTAAAAAAAACTTTTTTAGTTTTTTATTTAATTTTCCAATTTATTTTCCATCAATGAAAAATTAAAACCGACAAATGAAAAATCAAATAAAAAATATTTGGAAATTTTTTCGAAAATATAGTCAAAGTTCACGTTCTAATTGCAGGTCAGATCAAAGGCAGTCAGTAATATTTGTTTATGTTGCAATTAAAACTCATTATTAGATCAAGTATAACCTCAAATTAACCACCTTGCCTCTACATAACCAAACTTTTTGACAGCGCAGCTTGCGCAGCCCTGGTTTGCTGTAATGAAACGTGATTTAAGTTTATGACTCTTTAATTAATAGACTAATAGGCGGAACTTTGCTTGGTTAAATCTCACAGCTGTGAGTGCCGCCCCCCACCAACCCCCTGACAGCTGCGCCTTTGTCCTGCAGCACCTAACCTTACCCCGGCCGTTGCCCGCGTTGCTGTTCAATGGAAAAGTGGCCTTAAATCACCGTGTCGATTGCCAGACAAACTGTGGCGCCCCAACAGCCAATTAAAAGCCGTCGAAAGCAAATGCTGCAACAATAGCATTTTATATATGTATATATATATTACATATAGATATTGTATGAACAGATTTCACTAATTACTTTTATGACCCAATTTGTTGGCAAAGAGTTTTTGCGCTTTTTGTTATAAATTTTACCTTAGCTACAAAATGCGCGCCATTCCCAATTCGTTTCCCATTCCCATAGCCGTTCCACATTCACCCATTCCAAGGGCTAATCGAAGACGGGCCTCGCAAATTTATTGCTGCCTGCTACGAGATACGAACGTCAAAGAGAGTGAGAGGGGGAGGCGTGTCTCGCCTGTTCCTTTGACCTGTCTGCTTCAGTCGCACCCGCAACCGCGTCTGTGCTTCAGCTGTAACTTTTTCAGTTGTTGTTGTTGTTGTTGTTGTTGTTGTTGTTGTTGCTGCTGACATTCTTATGGGTTTTTTTTTTTGTATTATTCGTTGCTCCAGGCGCAGCAAACAAGTTTCTTGTGTTCCGTTTTTCCGTTCCTCCTCTGCGTGCTAGCAACAATACGTATAAAACAGTAAAGGAGTGCGAGTGAGAGGGATAGAGTTAGCAGCCGTCAGCTGCTCAGCTGCAGAACTTGTTGGGGCTGCGCTTGTTGCCCGTTTTGTTGTAAACTACATATGAACAAAAAAAGAAAAATGTAAATGAAAAACACAAAAAAATTATTGCAACATGTTTAGCATGTCTTTGATGTTAGGCGGTGTAATAAGCCGAACCCTATCCGATAATGCGCTTCGATTGGCGCGCATTGTTTTTAGCGCGGGTCTTTAAGTATAAAATATTAAAAATATAATTACAATTGATTGTATTCTCAATTCCCAATTAATATATATTTCCAATTCAAATATGTACTAAAAAACTGACCTCGACTTATACAACCTAACCAGCGCATAAACCTTACCATCTTATACAACATTAATATAAGTTCCACACGATGCGTTGCTCATTTTTATCCATAATCGCATAAATATAATTGCAATTTATTGTATTCTCAATTCCAAATTAATATATATTTCCAATTCAAATTTGTACCAAAAAATTGTCCTCGACTTATACAACCTATCCAGCGCATAAACCTTACCATCTTATACAACATTAATATAAGTTCCACACGATGCGATGCTCATTTTTATCCACACCACAAAAAACAAGATTTTAAAGAACGGAAGTATGAAGCTGCAAGCATTGGTTGCATTGCCAGGTAGTGCAAGCGAAATAGCAATATAGACGCCAACACATTTGTGGCGCCATCTCACACCGCTTTATCCGATTGGCGTTTTTAGAGCGAATTCGCCGCACACAATAAGCAAAACAAACTACTACTCTCCGGCGCACTGAGCGAATCGCAGCGAATGTTTATTTGTTGTGCACGACTTATGGGTGGGTGGTTGGAGCGGGAGAGCAGCAGTTAAGTTTGTAATGGTCGCCACATGGCGATCCCGGTAACTCTAGCGAGAGAGAGAGAGAGAGAGCGCGCGCCACTTGATGTCTCGCGCTCTTGTTTTGGTTTTTATGCTAGCCGCAAGAAATCATGTTCTATTCGGAGAGCGGGTCGTTGTCAAGCGAATTGAATGCCATGCTTTCCGGCAACGCTATAGTTGTCAGTTTGGTTCCGACCGTTACAACGTCAAGTTCAGCGTGCGGAGATTTTTGTGCGTCGTCGTCGCCGTCGTCGTTTACAATTGTTTTGTTACTCTGCGCGTCGTCGTTGTCGTTATCGTCGTTTCTTTTGTGGTCGTCCCACAGAAAGTTTGCTACTTGCAGAAGTGCCGTTAAAGGCTCGAAGGCGGCAAATTAAAAACAAACAAATTTATATTTGTTTGCGTTTTTTGGGCGAAAAAATTAAAGTAAATCTTTAAATTTGTCTTCAATTTCAAGTGCAATAATTTGCAGCAATTTGTTGTTGCTTTTATTGTTGTTAATTTGTTTATAGTAATTGAATAGAGGGGAGAAAGGGAAAAAATGTGTTTTTAATTAAAATGCGATAGCGCTTGGCGTTTTGCATGAGCAAAATTAAATTACGTGTTAAATTGCAACAACAGCAACAACAACAACAAACAAAAGAAGCAACAACAACTGCCCTTGTGATGTATGCAAATAAATTAAAAACGTACATATACAATCAAAACGAAATACATATACAATAAACTTAACAAAAGCAAATGCTTAATCAGTGCTTAATAGATTATTAAAATTTAAACCAATTTTCTCATTGGTTTAATTTTTAAATAATTATACGTTTAACTAATGAAACCAAAACCAATGCAACTTTTGTTAAATTAAAAATCTTGAAAAATGCAATTAATAAATTAATCTAGCCGCAGGATAGGTCATTAAGCAAATAAAATATATATTTATTTGTAGTCAAAAAAACTGCTGGTTTTTTCCCGTTAATTGCAGCATAAACTGCTATAAATTCGAAGAGTTCTGTTGTAGTTCTCTTTTTTTATCGAATGTGCGATAAGAAATAGAAGAAGAAGCAGCAGCCGACGAATACAATTCTTAGAAAGTCTTGTATATTTGTTGTGTTGTAATTGAATATGCGGGGCTGCGGCGTGTCAGGCATGAAAGTTCCTCGAAAAAAGAACAAAAAGCAAAACATGTGATAAATTATCCAGGAAACCTAGAGAATGTGCTGCATAAGATTTTACAGCTCTTGCCCAGGCTGTAAAAGCAACTGTTTAAGCCGATTGCGCTTGAAATGTTGATCGGCTTTCAAGTTCAAATGCGTAAAGAAAATAAAACAAACCCGAGATTTAAAATAAAATTCAAGAGCACGCTTGTGCGTAGCTTAAATAAATTTCATATGAAAATTCGCATAAATCAACTTGCTTGTGTGCATATGCGTGTGTGTGTGTGTGTGCGAGACTGTGAAACGCATTAATAAATTAAACAATTATTTGACGCTCGTGTTGTTGTTGCTGTTATAAAGTCAACAAAAGCGTCAGCTTATCCGAAGCTGAGCTTAAAAAATACGAGAAAAAACAAAGAACGCTAAATGCGAGAACAAAGCGTTATAAAAGACGCGGGCGGTCGTTCGTCTCAGTTGCTCTGCCGCCGTGCCTGCCTGCTTATCCGCAGGCCTATTGTTTTTGTATAACTGCATACGTCGGAAATGATTACGTGGGTTGTATAGCATATGGGGCGGGAGAGTAGGTAAGACGGGGGCTAGCGGCATTTGTGTCTTCGTCATCGGCTCATGTTGCACATGGCCGCATGTGTTGCATACAGCAGCCGTCTGAGTCGCTCGAAATTACCCCAACTGCTCGATAAGCGGCGAATCTGTTTATGCTCTTTTGCTTACGCTCTCACTTAGTGCGGCTCCACGAGTTTGTCCTGGTGAGCGTGTTTTGTGAGTTTTTCGGCGAACTTGCGAACTTTGCGCCGCTCTTCGCTTTAGTCAGCGGCTAAGCGCTCCTGCGATTTCAGTTGACAAAAGTTCCTTGCGCTGTGCGGACCTTCAAGCCTTCACGTTTGTCGTAATCGCTGTCGTCATATCGTCACGCGCCGTTACTTTAGTCGTGCCGTTTTTAAGTGTGTGTGTGAGTGACTCAAATATATATAAGTGGGGATACAGAGAGACGCGTACGCTGCTGCTTTTTTTTTTCGGGTAGATTAGCAGAAGGCATCACAAAATTATACAATTGTATGCGGCGAATTCAATGACGTCGCAAAAATATTGCTTTGCGTCTTTTGCTTTGCTGTGTTTGTGTGTGTGCGTCTTTTGTGTTTTTGTGCACGCAAATCGATTTAGTTTATAAAAATAAAGCATAAACCAGCCCTTATAATAACAACTATATACAGAAATAGCATTGCCGAAAGTCTTGCTGTTCCTGCACGCATGCGATATAAGTTTTTCATTAATACATGTGTATTTATGAGTGCGTGTGTGTTTATCAAAACGCAATAACAGCAAAAGCAGCCGCATATAAAGGCAACGTTTTTTTGTTTTTATAACAGCACAATACAATCGCAATTCGCCGCTGTATGCGTTAAAAAGCCGGCAATGACGAGCGAATGCGACGCAAAGAGCAACACCAGAATCAAAAGCCCGCAACAAACATACTAACGAAAGTAAAAGCATAGGCAGCAGCAAAAGAAAAAAGAAACAGAAGCAGAAAAGCAGTAGAGCAGCAACAACAACAAACTAAGAAATTAAAACAAAACTAGTTGATGATGCTTTTAACGGGCAGAGTTTCGACAGAGCAGCGAAAGCGGGAATGAGAGCGAAAGAAAACTTCAAAAGAAACAGCAACACGCAAAAATATGTGATTATATGAAGAAGAATAATAATTAATGTGCTTCTCTAAGCATTTGAAAGGGATTAACAGGAGTGCGAGATATGTATTTCAATAGTAGTTCTGTTTCTGTAACTTAGCATTGAGTTAACAGCGACAAGAAGTGTAAATAAATATCCTAAATAATTTAATATAAAACTAAAAGTTCTCTTATCAGATTTAAGCTATAACATTTACATTCATGTTAAAATTCCCTTTCCCGCCGATTTCCCGTGTCGAAACTATGTTAAATGTTGATAAAATCTTACGTCTTGTATGTCAGGTGCTAATTGAAGAGTTTGGTTAAGATATCTTGAAATACCGAAATGTTTTTCATATAAGAACTACATTTCTAAATTAGTCTAACGGATTCTTACCAAGTTATTTCAGCTTCAATTGAATTTCAAGCATGAATCAGGTTATCTTATTAGACTTGTTTTATTTACAATTGCCCCAATTGTAATTTTGAACTCATCAAATCGAATATATTTCCTAAATATTCAGAGTGCTCTAAGCCATATCGGGTTTACAGAAAATGTGCATAACTTAAACAAAATCAGTGCACAAATAATAATAAAAATAAAAGTTTTACGCAAAATATAACAAAAAATACTAAAGCAAACAATAAGAAAGAAAATAAGGTGAAGGAAATTAACACGCAAAAAAAAAAAAAGAAGTAGTTTTTTGTGCTAAACCCCCCTTCGCCGCGCGGAAGTATAAAAAAAGGCGGGCAAAATTTACTACAATATCAGCTACAACAACAACAACATCCAACCGAACGGCAACAGAATGCTATTCGAGAATCCAGCCGTCGCGGCCAAGCTGCCGTTTCCATACAATGTGCCGCCGCCTCTGCAAGCGGCGGCCGCTGCTGCCGCAGCTGTGCCAAATTTAAGGTAAGCCCAAAAGATACTCTCCACAAAAAAAACAAAAACAAAACTATGCAAAATGTTTAAGACAGAGATGGCAATAACTTGGAATTTCGCTTGGTCTCAAGGCCATTTAAGCGTTAATGCGCTTTGTGGTTTGCCGTCGCGCAAGTTTTTATATATATTATTTTCTTTTTTTATTTACTTTTTTTTGGCTCCCGATTTTCCTCAGCGGCATATTTATGAAAATTGTTCTGCTCGCCGTTCGCTTTTAAATTTTTCATCAGCTACTCAGCAGCAGAGCCGAGTGTTACGATATTAACCTATAATTTTTATGAGTTACTTCCGCAAATTGCAATCATTTGTTAGTTTGTTTAATTTTGTTTTATTTTAAGTTAAGATGTCTTATTAATATTCATTTGATAGCCACAGTGGTGCGAGAGTGCAAGGAAAAGGAAAAACAAATATTAAACTTATAGAATGTTTAAAGCAAGCTTAATACAATTTAAAAAAATAAGAAATTATTCCGCTTACGTTTTATTTCGATTGCTCGAGTTTTGGTTTAAGATATAAAATGTGTAGCACATTAAATTTTAATATATTGGGTATGTTTCTTTGGTAATGCACATGTTTCAGGCAAAGATCATATACGAATATTTCTTTATAATATAAAATAATATAATGTAATATTTTAACCATAAAACAATTGAAAATGTTTAAAAAGACTGAAAGTAAAGTATATATTTTTATATTATATTAAGCCTATTTCTAATTGGGAATTAAAGTTTTTGAAGCTCTTCTTTTTTGTTTATTATTATATCTGCAGTAAGGTTTTTTTTGTAATTTTTTTTGTACCCAGAATTATGTAAATTTGTGAATCACAGTGATGGTGGGATTTGTACTAACGAGATCTGTAAATACTCTCAGGCGGACTTGCCTTGATTATTAATGCCAGGCACTTGCCGTAAGTGGCCTTTATAATGGCCATTTAGGTCAAAGTGAGAGTGTAAATATGTAAATATTGCATGCACTTGGTCGAAACTGAAGCCGGGATTCAAGTTTAAATCTCGCTGACTTCCTTAATAAAGCATACGTATAAATAAATATAAACATAAATCGTATAACGACCGTCTGGCGCCAGGCAATTAAGAGTTTAAAGTTTTGCATTGTGTTTGTCAATTAGTTTCATTTATATTTTTTCTTCTTCGTCTGTCATTTATTTCATAATAATTTCACATGTGTCAAGACTAAACAAATATGTAAACTTTGATACAAATGAATAATAAAAGGCTTTTCAATAGTTTTTTTTTTAAGGTACATGTGTCTCCAACGGTTTGCTCAATTTTGCGTGGCAAAGACAAAATAATTGAAATCATAATTAAGCTAATTACGCTCACATTTAATGTCACCGCGGCACAATTAAGCACTCGGGGCCCCAGAGACAGCGCCCAGCCCAGAGACTGCAGCCTCAAGAATTTTACATGCCAAAAAAACGATACGATGTACATATTCCATTATTATACCCTGTGCTCATTAAACGGGCAAGAGGTATGCAAGACTTGTGCTAATGATTGCAACAGTATAATATATGGAGAATTTCGCGTGCAACTAAAGTTCACATTTCTCACATTTTTTCGCAACAATAATTAGGTTTATACAGGGTATCTTGAGGGCGAGCACACTCAACTGTGCGCCTATTACAGCGACCGCTGCATAATACTGACACTGACATAATGAAGAAAATAAGAAAAAAATTAAAAGGCAAAAACAAAAAACCATAAACAAAAATAATAAAAATAAAATATTTGCGCGCCGCGTAGGCAAGAAAAAAAACCCAAAAAAAAAATTAAACTCGAACGATGAACGGTTCCCAGCACCCCCCTACCTCATCCCTCTCAACCCCCCACCCCTAGCCATACAATTTGTTTGACTTGTCAGTGCCAGCTCTCTAAAATGTGGCGACGCTTGTCCGTCTGTTTACTTAGCGCCCGAGTCTCCGACGGATTTCAATATTTTTCGGTACGCTATCTTCGAGTGCAAGTTCAGTCAGTTCTCAATAGCATTAGTTTGTGGGTCGTACCCTCCGTTCCGTCTAGCTCTCCAGAATTTGTCGGAGTGTTGCGTATGCTTTTTCTCGTATATATATAAATGAAACACGCCTTTCTTGTCATTTATTACTGTCACTTTAAATCCAATCAGCGCTTTGTCTATGTTCGGCGGCTGCTGAGAGCATTTCTTTACTTATTTTTTGTTTCTTTGTTTTTTCCCACCAAAAAAACACAACATTACATAATACTTCATATCCGCCGGTCGGCGTGCTGATAATTTTCATTTAAATAAGAAAAACAATGTTGCGTTAAAAATAAATTGGTATTTATTCAAGGCAAGCCCCCGAAGAACAATATTGGAAAGCCTCCATGACAGAAAGCTGACAGGGCAGATTGTTGGACAGCAGAGATTGCTTGCTGGGAGTCCACCGCCAAGTTATTTGGGTTCGCATTATCTAGTCGATAGCATATTCTGGCAGATATAAAAGTGTTTAAGCTAATATTGTGAATGTAGCTTTCAGCTTTAAATTATATTCAAGATCAATCTAAACTCGTGGTCGCACTTGCAGTAGAGACAAACGAGCTTTGTCTCGCTGTACGCTTAAAAGTTCCGTCTCCTTCCTCTGATAAATCTGAATCTTTTCCGAATTTTTAATGCTCTTAAGTTTAAAGCTGGCTCAAATACACAAATATATTTAATCGCACTTAAAGCTTTTATTGGACCTCAGAATCTCTCTCTTTCTCTTTCTTCTCTTATAATACTTGAGAGCTTTTCTAGTGGCTAGCATATTCTGCCAGATACACTGACATTTAAGCAAATATTCTGAATCGAGCTTTAAGCTTTATATTATATTCAAGATTAATCTTAACTTTTACGCTTCAAAGCTCCTTCTTTAAGTTTAAAACTGCTTCAAAGACACAAATCGCACTTAAAGCTTTCATTGTACCTCAGCATCTCTCTCTCTCTTATATTTATCGCATAGACTTTCTTGAACTCAATGTATTAATCGTAATCCTTAATGACATTTTCATTTAGAGCTTCGAACAGTATCGTACTGAAAAGCTCATTAATTTAAAAGCTTTACATGTCATCGCATTAAAAGCTTCCAGTTAAGCTCTCAAACTGTGTATACTTCTATTATCTCTGTGGATTGGTTTGAGCTCATGTGAAAATTTTATTGGGACCTCACATTAATACTTTATTATTGTATTCAAAAGCTCTTGAACTTGAAAGGTGCTTAAAATGCAGAGCACAGGTTCTCAATTCAAGTGCGTTTTAAAATCTAATTAAACTTTTAATCATGCACCTCAAAGGAGTGCAACAAATCAAATCAAAACTTCCGCATTAATTAGCATCCAACTAGACAAATTCATCCGCTTAAATGTTTTAGCTGTAATCATTTATGCGCGTGCCTGTCTGCTCTGTGGGTGTGTGGTTCAATGAAGGGGGAAGGGGGTTGGGGGTAAATAGACGACAATAATAATATATTGCCAGCCCGCATGTTAATCAAGGCGCCAACACCCCCCCCGCCCCAGGCCCACAGAGTGCATAAATTATATCGATGTGTGTTTTGTGCGTTACGATTACAAATAAACGCGCGTGCTGAGAGAGCCTGCTTCCAGGTAAACCCAAAATATTCTCAGACTATAAACTTGACTTTAAAACCAATTTGGGAATTGATATCGACACGAATTACTCTTGACTTATTTGTTAGTTTCAGGCTACACGAGTCTCAAGTAAAGGAAGGTATTTAAATTATTTACATGTTCAACAATTTTATGCAGGTAAAATTAGCCACATTTATACTGTGTATATCCAAAATATTCCCAGATTCTAAACTTAACTTTAAAACCAATTTGGGAAGTGATAACGATACGAATTACTCTCGACTTATTTGTTGGATTTGGGCTACACGAGTCTTGCGTGAAGGAAAGTATATAAATTATTAACATATTCAACAATTTTAGCCACATATTCGCCAGATGCTGCCGTTGGCCAAAAGGCAGTTGACAAGTGCTCAAAAGCGCCGCAATATTAAGATGTTTATGAATTTCAAATAATAATATGTCAAGTGCCGGGAGCAATGGGGGAGCTCCGACACAGACACAAGCTATTTTTCGGCTACCCCCACGCTCGGCCGCCGCCTCTTGCTGTGAGGGGAAACTTGTCGTAATTAAGCTACTAGCCATAAGTTTTGCGCATTTCAAAATTTCTTTTCTTCCACATCCCCGCGCACTTTTTTGCTCGGATTTACATTCAAATGCCATGTGATTATTCACAAGGCATTGTATGCGTGTGTCTGTGTGCGTGTCTCTGTTTGTGGCTTTGTACGCTAGGGGGCGTTTGAGTGACAGCTACAGGGGCAAATACTTATGAGAGGTAGCCGAAACACCTACTCGCAAAGTATTTACAAAACTCAGCCATATACATATTGTTGTTTGTCTTTGTTTGTGGCTTTTCTTTTCAAGAACTTTGCTGATTCTTTTCATTGTGTTATTTTTGGGAGTTACTTTTTTTATACCCTTGCAGAGGGTATTTTAATTTTGTCTCGAAATGTGTAACGCATAGAAGGACAAGTCTCCAAACCCAGAATTATATATACATATATTCTTGATCAGTATCAACAGGTGAGTCGCTATAGCCACATCCGTCAGTTCGTCCGTCTGTTTCTATGCTATCGTCATGAAACTTTGCATGCGTTCCTTTTTCTGTTGCACGCAGTTCATAGGTCGGAACCTGATGGATCGGACCACTATCTCATATAGCTCACATAGAAACGATCGGTCGAAAATTAACTTATTGTATGAACAACTTTTTTGTTTATCAAGATATCTTTACGATACTCGGCATTAACTATTTTCCCCGTGCTTCTTAGATACGATCAAAGCGTTATGAGCATTATGAAAATGTTCGGTCGGCAAGGGTATTAAATTTTCGGTGTGCCGAAGATAACCCTACTTTGTCGTTTTTGACTGTAC